TAAAAAAAATAATAGTATAATATTTGTAAAGTAATGTACAATTGTACCGTTATTAAAAGACATACAAAAAATATTAATACCATAATGACCTAAATTATTCCAATAATGCAAACGGCATAATTGAAATATTGAGTTTTGTTCTAAATAATCAAACGAAGATTAATTAAACGAAAAAAAAAAAAAAAAAAAAAAACAAAACAAAACAAAACTTAACCTAAATTTGTTTTTTTTTTTAATGCAAGAAAATGATTTTCAAAGTTCATGATTTATAATCTTTGATGCTCAACTTTGAATGGTTTGTATTTAGTCCTCGGGCTAATTATTTGACCAAAGTTTATGTTAAATTTTATATTGTATTTATTTTTGTAATACTCCGTATATTTTAACATATTCGTAGTATATATTTAACAATTATGCCAATTCTGATTGGGATGAGGTTCGAACCTAAGACATTTATTATAGAAACTAATGAGTAAGTTAAGAATAATAAATAGTTAACGGAATATTTCGTTACTAAAGTTTTATACTACGGAATCCAAGGTTATTTAAGGGGAGAAAATAATATAGTAGAGGGCAAATAAGGAAAATCATAACAAAATACTAAAATTAGAATAATATGAACCATTCATTTCAAGAAACAATTACACCAACATTTTTTGTTCCGGTTAAGGGCCTAACATTATTGGCTCTTATGGATTTGTATTTGTAGATGTAGAAATAAAATAGTAGCTACAACAAAAAATAATACACATGCATTTTATTAATTTATAATTAGATGTCTATAATGCCGTTATTTAAAAAAATTATTCATTATAACAAATTTAAAAAGAGATAATAATTTCTTTAGTTATATTATCTTTATTTTCTACAATTCAAAGATTCATTACCTTCAAATTTATTAATTTATTATATTCACTACATTGTTCATTGTCTTCTTTTTACATTATCTTGTAATTAAATATCAAAGTTATATACCAGGACTATGTGGTCTAATGGTATCCGGGTTGGACTTTCATTTGGAAGATTATGAGTTCAAGCCTCAGTGGAGGCGTTATTGGTTCTTTGTGTTTCAGTAGGTTGAACAGATACTACAATGTAATAGAGCCAGTAACTTTCAAAAAAAAATATCAAAGTTAATACCCATTTTAGTCCCTCGACTATTAGGTAATGCGTAATTTAGTCACAAACTATTAAAAGTATCCAATTTAGTCCTCTAAGTTGTAAAATCATACCCAATTTGGTCCTCCGTTACAATTGACA